ACAAAAGCACTAAAAGACAGCTCTATAGATAATAAATAAAAAAGCTACTTGCACATCTGTATTTGTCTCATACAGCACCCAGAAGCTGAAGAAGGACAAAAAAGGGGATTCGTTTGGTTTTACACAATACACACCTGAAATAGCAAAGATCTTTCCTAGACTAAGAAGACACAGGGATGGAAAGCTTTTATTTCATATTCAATAATATTGACTCTGCTGCTCTGCATAATCATGCTATGACATGATACCTCTCAGTCTGATGGTCAAATTCAAGTGGTAAGTGATTACCTTATTCCACTAAAAGGAGCTATTCTTACCTCTTAAAATCATGGTAATTAATGAAACTTCACAGAAATTAAATTAGTAAAAAAGCAGCCATCAAGTAATATCTAGATGCTTGTTATAACTTCTCTTTTGCTTACAGATCAATTTTACCCTTATTAGGTTAGGGGAGCAGTTAGAGTACCAAGTCAACAGGTTAAAGAGATAAGCAAAGGGGAGTGTTTTTTACAATCTCCACAGCAAGGCCATTAGTCAAAGGAGAAGAAACTGTAAAGCACATATTTTGGAAGGTTTATTAAAAATTAGCACAGGAATTGCAAGCCATTCCTTTCTTTAAGCTAAGTGTAAATTACTGCCGAAGGATTGCTACACCTAAAAGCTCTGTAAACTGTCATGCACCTAAAGACATCTAGGGTTATTAACACACCCCACTCTTGTATAAGATATCTTTGCTTCCACAGTAAATTTTTCTTTTTTCTTTTTCTTTTTTTTTTTTCTTTTTTTTTTTTTCCCCAAGTGCTGGTGTCACTGAAGTGCAGTGTAAAATTGTGGCTATTGTTGGCCTCTTTACACATCATTCCCAATTTAACAAACAGAGCAGTTTAGAAGGTTAAATAGGAAAACAATATCTCAAGAAAATAGCAACTTTTGTGCCTTTGAAATAGAGAAAAAAAAAAAAAAATCAGTGCCAAAATGTTTATCTCCTCGGTTCATGAAGCCATAAAATAAGTACAGCACCATGAATAATTTCAAAACTTCAAAGCTTGTATGCCCAGAGTACCATTTTAGGGCTATTAAATCATACAGCTACTCTACTTGTAGTAAATAGTTACACAAGATAGCAGCAGTAGTGCCAAAGACTTCGCCCTTGCCTTAAAGCCACACTCATTGCATAAGCTTGTACTGTCTCTTACCATCTCAGGAGCTTCAGCACACAAAAAAATAGTGACCATTACACTGAAAAGACCAGCTTCCTTCAGAGAATATAGTACTCCAAATATAGGTACTAAATTATATATACCGTAATTAAATAGAGGAAGTTAACTCCTTTGACATGTCAGTATTTCTGCAGAAAAGCAAAGTAATGGGTTTTGCTCATTGTATCAAAGACCATGATGAAAATCCACTAAAATAAAAATTTGCCTTCTGTGAGATTGAAGGTTGTACTATATGTTATATAAACTGAGAAGAAAATAGGAAGCCGTATCTTTCAGGAATGGTTCAGAAAATAACAGAACACTTATTCATCTATGTTGATACCTTACCTACATGTGACTTTTAGTGATTTGTCCCAGTTAAATGGTAGAAGGCTCAATTTACATATGTATGTAAAGTCTAGCCCCTCACAATCTGTTTGCACCCACCCACCTTATGTGCAGGAGCTTGCTGTTCCTTGCAGTTCCAGCTGGCTGGGGTAATCAGCAGGCACCACTAATGTCTTAGAGAGGCCATCTGGGAGGACTTAAGCTCCATTAGGCCATGTAAAGAGAAAGTCCCGTGGGGCATCCTGAATTTTTGTGTGTGTCACAGAACACTGTACAAGATTTTTGTTTGTGTAAACTGTCAAAGCCACTTGTATCAGTGGTCAGGTTTTCAAAGGAAAATTAAAAGAAGCTTTTATGCCCTTGGCATGTTATGAATTGGATGACTGGGCCCAGAGAGTGCTGGTGAATGGAGCTGCATCCAGTTGTGCCCGGTGACCAGCAGTGTCCCCCAGGGATCAGTACAGGGCCCAGTCCTACTCAAAATCTTTATTGATGACCTGGATGAGAGGATTGAGTCCACCCTTAGTATATTCACAGATGACACCAAGCTGGGGGGGAATGTTGATCTGCCAGAGGGTAGGAAGACACTAGAGGAGGACCTGGACAGGATGGGTCAATGGGCTGAGGCCAATGGCATGAAATTCAACAAGACCAAGGCAGGGTCCTGCACTTTGGCCACAATAACCCCAGGCAGCCCTACAGGCTGGGGGAAGAGAAGCTGGAGAGCAGCCCGACAGAGAGAGACCTGGGAGTACTGGTTGACAACCAGTTGAACATGAGCCAGCAGTGTGCCCAGGCAGCCAGGAAGTCCAATGGCATCCTGGCTTGTATCAGGAGTAGCGTAGCCAGCAGGAGTAGGGATGTGATTCTCCCCCTGTACTCAGCACTGGTGAGGCCTCATCTCAAGTGCTGTGTGCAGTTCTGGGCCCCTCACTTCAAGAAGGATATTGAGGTGCTGGAGCAGGTCCAGAGGAGAGCAATAAGGGTGGTGAAAGGACTAAAAGGAAAGTCTTATGAGGAGGGGCTGAGGGAGCTAGGGTTGTTTAGCCTAAAGCAGAGGAGACTCAAGAGGGACCTTATCACTCTACAACTACCTGAAGGGAGGTTGTAGTCAGGTCTCTTCTGTAGTCAAGTCTCTTCTCCCAGGCAATTAATGACAGGATGAGAGGGTATGGCCTGAAGCTGCTCTAGGGGAGGTTTAGGTTGGATATCAGGAAGTGCTTCCTCACGTAAAGGGTGATTAGACATTGGAATGGACTGTCCAGGGATGTGGAGGAGTTGCCATCCCTGGAGGTGTTTAAGGAAAGACTGGATGTGGTACTTAGTGCCATGGTCTAGCTGATGTGGTGGTGTTAGGTCATAGGCTGGACCCATGTTATACTTAAATACTGAAGATATTTTTTTAAGGTTATGCACAAGAAGCTGCTCCAAGTTCTCTTTTCCCTAGCAATTTGTTAACAACACCATGACCACAGAATAAATTTAAGCAAGTTTGAGCTAATGCCCAACATGTTGCAATAAAGACTTACATGAGTTCTCACCTTCCCAGTCAGGCATGTCTGCAAAGATACCTCATTTTGGAGGTTGTCCTCAGCATGCCTTTATAACAGAGCTCTGCCTATACTATACTATATATTGCATCATAAATTAATGTTTATTTCTCCTTTCTGTAGAATAGATTCACTTCTACCCACATCTAATTAGCTGTTTCTTCTTCCATGCCCACATACTTACATCATCAGAAAGACTGGCTGAGTCTAAACAACTTATTTACTAGTTGCTTTCACACACTCCCTCTTTTTTAAAGCCTACGCAACAAAATAAACTCCAAACATGTCCCTGAAACTCCTTATATTTGTGAGCTGTATCTTTATCATGTTTCTGCTCTGATTATATAAATTTCTTCTCTCCTCAACAAATACGCTTTCAACACAGCCACTCCTATCGACCTTGTTCCTTGTTTTCTGTCAGCTAAGTGCCTGAATTTCACTAGACTAATTTGTACAATGTTTCCAAGGCTTGAGAGATGTGCATAGGAGAGACTGTTTCTTGCAAATGCTTTTCTCTACTGGTAAAAAGCACACTCACTTTTCCTAAAAAGATTATTTTACCTTTGATTTTAAAGCTTGAAACCTCAGTAAATTAGCTGATAATAGAATATTGCAATGCTGTTGCACAAAATACTTCACCTAACAGAAATCTTTTTTCAGTTCCTCTGTTTGTGCATAATATATACAAAAATCCTCTCCAGTTAAGCAGTGCTGCATAATTCCTAGTAATAAAGTAGTATTCAAAGGCAACATACGCTGGAGATGAAAATCAGTAGAAAAGTCGCTTTGATTTAATTGTTTGGATAGTGAATAGCTTTAAACTATGGACATACGTTCATTTTTACCAAGCATTTTGTAAAGTCATGATCCAAAGCATACCTACATTTACAGGGGAACCCACCCATGACTTGAACAGACTGTGGATCAGGCCTTAACTGCTGTGACTTTGTCAAGAGTAAAATTCTCAGGTGATTTCTTATAAGATACGATGAGAAATGAAACACACACAGGTTCTCACTGATCATACCTGGAACCCACAAAGTACCATGTGAAAAGTGGTAAAAAAGGAACCCATGAGGACTGGAAAAGACTCAGATTTTATGGGTTATTAATTTACCAGGAAGAATCTTGCCAAGCTTAAATGAAGGAAAACAGAAAAATGGCATAACCAGGGTGTAATGTTGTTGAGCTAATGCACTGTGTGAGTGAGAGCTGTGGTACTGTTCTCTAACATCCCTTCATAAAGCAGCTACATAATTTGAATTAAATCAATCACTACAGCAAAAATGTAACAGATCACAATCCCAGTGAATGATAAAGTATGAATTACCATGTGTGCTGTTATAGCTTGGTTATAGCTCAGCAACCAAATGCTAAAGAGAAAAACATCTAGTTCCAGTGGAAAAAATAATCCTATAAAAATTGTTATTCTGGCTCTGTTTTTCAGACCCCAAACTCATGGAAGATCTATAATTCATGGTAAAAAAAAATGAACTGGCAATTAAACAAATAATACGCTTATAGGCTCAATATCAATGCTGAATGTATGGCTTACATAACAGAAATGAGAGTAACCCTTTTTTTCAAAAGGATCTAAATAATTAACATAATTTGATTATATCAAATTATTTAGATTTGACTTTCAGTAATCATTAAAAAAGCTGTCCAACATTATGTAGTGTGGGGAAATACATTGAATAAATCTTTCTTCAAAGGTCACTTACATTGCACTGTAGTTTTTATCAAACCATATAACATTAAATTTGTTATTTTTATGTACTTATAATTAAGTTAACAATTTGCATGAAATTAGAACATGTAGTGTGAAACATGGTATGTCTTTTTTCTATGGATTTGTCATGCAGAGGCTTTTATAGTCCACTGGGGTTTGTTTTTTCCTTACCTGGAACTCTCTTTGCCCAGTTGATCATGTGTACTAATTCTCTGTCTGCAAGGTTGGTCAACAGGGTCATCATAGAGGCTTCGTTGAATGGTCTATTTGGGTCATATTCAGAATACACTATGGGTGGCTCAGCTTCCAGAAGGGCACTGACCATCTGTTCTGCTGTCAGGGACAGGGCTGGACTGTTCTTCTTGTTATGTTTAACCACCAGTGGACTTGTCCAGAGGGTGGGAGCTCGCAGCTCTGTAGCAGAAGGCTCCCCATTCCTGGAATCCTGCTCTTCTCTTTGACGTTTTTGTTTCACTGTTCGCCCACCTCTGCGGTCTTTCCGGATTCCTAGAGACATACAAGAACATAATGCACTCCTTTCCTCAAACATACGTATAACATACACATGCCTATAGCCAAGAAGCAGCTGCTTTTGATAGACCCAGGTAGCATTAACTCTTGGTTTATCTTCCAAAGACTTTTTTCTATAGATGGAATCGGTAGCTGGAGAGAAAAACTGTTTTTTAAAGTATAGTGTCAGGAATTGTGCACTCCTTCCTAAAATCCTGCTCAGTTGGGCTTACACAGGCCTCTAGACTAGTGACACTGTATAGCTGCCTTAGCCCCACAAAGGAAAGTCAGTAATGGGGAGTAAATAAATTTTTATTTACAGCACAAACTTCAAAGTATGTCCCAACATTTAGCAGACAACTCTTCTGCAAATGATCAGTGGTAACTTAATGAGCTAGGTGGGCCAGACAGATCAGAGAAGTAGCTCTCAAAAACTAGCCAAGAAATTTTGCTCAAGTTCATCAATTATTTTAATTCAACATCATCCTATTACTGAGCCTGCCATCTTCATAGTTACATTAAAATAATCAAAAAAGTTCCCATTATAAAATGAGCTGATACAGATAATAAGAATATCAAACAAGTAGATAAACAGAATAAAAGGATATTGCAACCTCAGAATCTAATGTGGGAGACCTACTGTAAAAAGGCTGTAATATCTGCAACAGAAACCACCTTTGTCATTACTGCACATTTCTGCAATGTGCTTAGCACTGTATGACCCTGAACCTTGGGATATTATCAAGTCAGCCATAGCAAGGAGAAAAACAACATAAGACCTTACAGTGGAACAAAATCTCCCTTTGTGGAGAGGTTACAAGAAAAATATAATGATAAAGGCCACGTGCACTCCAACCATAGAGGGAAGATTAAGTCTGGCTCTGAGTGGAGGAGGAACAGGCATTTTGAGGCTGAGTTAAAAGCTTAAATCAATCATCAAATGGGGTTGAGGGACAAGCAAGTAATAAGGAAAGCACACAAGGAATTGAGCTATGAGGAGAAGGCAGCTTCCAATGGGGCTTATTCTGGATTTCTCATGCAATATGGAAAGGAGTACTAGTACCAGTCTGAAAATCCAAAGAAGTACCTATAGAAAAAGAGGAAGTAATGAATTTAAGAAACAGAGAAGAAAGAGCAATTTATAAAGCAAACAATCAAAAAACCAACCCAAACCAAATCAAAACACAACTTTGAGAAATGCTGACACTCACAAGTGATCAGTACTGGTCTTTCTGATGTGTAGGGGAGTGGGAAACACAACATTTGCTCAGCTTTTTTCTCACCACAAAATTTTAAAACTTCAGATTCCCAGTCTTTGTTAGCAACATCTTCATCTCACATTCAATATTGTTTCACGTAAGTGTTGGATAATACCAGCAGGTGTCTGTTCCCAGTCTCAAAGGAACAGAGAGGACCTTTAAGTCTGTTTGCCTCTTTCTTTGAATATGGTGATATTTCCATTGAATTAGTACTTGAAAATTAATTACTATGCACTTACTTAATTCAAAATATGGCAGACCTCCTAATTCTATTCTATTTATCTTTCCAGATGAAGTGAGTTCAATAAATCTTTCATCACTCCTACTACTTAACCTCTCTACATTTTCCCATTAGTCTAGTTTTAAGCCAAAAAGTCTCAAATGCATTGATGCTTTCATTTTTCCTTTAGCAACACCAATTAATTCACCAGTTTTTCCTATGACTACACTGTTTCTCTTTAGGAGAGGAGGGGGAGATTCTCGCTATTAAGAAAAAATTGTAAGGCTTGATTTGGCAAAATGCCATTTTAAAGTTATTTGCATTAGTAGCTTACTTCATTGCAATACTCAACAGGATTTATGTTCCACCTGTAACAGGTATTTTTGCTGTAGGTTTTATATCAATGCACTGTTTTTCAATTAAAATTGCCCTGTGAATCATGCAGACACAGTCAGGTGAACAAAGCCACATGGTTCATACACATCTACATCTATCGGTTTCCTTTTGAAGAGTTAAAAGTATCCTTGGGGCCTGTACTTTTCAACATTCTCATAAATAAATGGACTCAGAACTGACATGATTCAGAAACAAGATCTTGGGGTTAGAATAATACTATAAAAACTTCAGATAAGTTCGTTTAGAAAGTAAATAGAAGGGTAGAAATTACTAGGAGAAGAAGGGAGGACAGACCATCTTCATAAATCACAGATTTTATTAACTCATGAGGCACACACTAAAAGGAACTTTCTGTGTAGTTCTGTTCTGCTCAGTTTAAAGAGAGAGATAAAAGAAATGAAAAAGGGATGAGAGAAAGAGAAGTTAGATGATCTGAAGTGTGAAGCAAGTTTGGTGCAAGAAACAAGCTGATTAAGCGTTCTTGGCCTGTAAGCCAGATATAAGACTACAAAATTGGGATTAGCAAGAAGATGAATAAAGTACACACACAGATGCTTCTCTTCTAATACAAGATGGTATCAAATGAAACTACCCCACTCAACAGACAAGAAGTTATTTTTCACATCATGAACAAACAAAGATGAAAGTGTGAATACATTAGAAGTTGGTATATGTTAGAAAGCTGTAGGCTAAATTTGATGGAGGAAGGGATCCATTAGGGGTTAATAAATACAAATAGAGAGCCTCTGGCCTAAGTCTCCATGGCATAGATTACTGAAAGATCAGAAAGGATTTTTTTGTTTTGATTTTTACTTATTCCAGACCTGTCTTGTTAAGTAAAACAACGATGTGATGAGAATTTCACAAAACAGAGGGAATGTGGCAAATGTAAGCACATTTAGCTGCCTACAAATCAAGTAGATTCTAAATAAGATAACAGTTTTATTTTAAATTCATCTGCAAGCTTCCCACTGGCTCTCATTCACCTTGAAAAAAAAAAGTGGTGCAGTCACTGAGAAAAGTTGAACACAGCCAGTTTGGAGGAGATGCCCCTCCCCAACAATTTACTCTTGCATTTTTATTTCAGGATTTTAAAAAAATCACCATCCAACCAAACATAGCAAGCCTACAGTAGATTTTGTAGAGACCAGATCTGAAAAAAAAATAAAATCAGTAAGATTATGCATTCCTAAAGCATCACATCAGCAGTTTTTATGATCACAGTCAGAAAGATCTTTGTGTAAGCATCATACTCATTGGAGAGTTATAGAAATTAGTTCTAAATCTTCACCTAACCCTAGATGGACAAGCAGCATAGTGATTTTATTATTCATTTTCTTGGACCAAATAGGAGTGAGTATCTCTCAAAAAAACACAAGTGCCTCCAAATCTCCTTCAGCTTGATCAAATTTTATCTCTTTTAAAAAGAAATAATAATGATTCACAGTCACTAATTCCAAAAAAAAAAGACAGCTATATCAAGCTACAATTTCACTGTCAAAAGTGCAATGATCCTGTACGGTGTTTTTTTTTAAATATATGAATGCATTAATTTTGATTCCACAGTTCAGCCAATAAAAATGCCAAATGTTATGAAAAACAATACTCTACCAAAAATGGAAGTACTATATAACTTGCAAAAGCTCTAAAATAATTTCCACTTGAGTTTTAAAGCTACAAGAGTCAAGATTTTCAAAGGCAGTTTAATACAGCCTCATATACAAATTCAGTCCATCTTCTAGATATGGATGCAGGCTTCACCACTGCTGAGTAATTGTATACTCCAGTCAGTAGAACCTGATTAGCAATACAATTGCATATGGCCCACGGAAGCCATGTTAACAAAATTACAAGTTTCACTAGTGTTTTGCAACATGTGACTAAAACAAAACAAAAAATAAATTCCAGGTCATTAAAAAGAAATCCTAAATTATGAATTTATTGGATGAATACTGAATCTCAGCCATCCAATAGTCAGCTTCTTCCTACCTACTGCTAAGAACAAAACTCCACCTTTATATCTTCAGTATTATATAAAATATTCTAGAATATTTAGAGGAAGAAGAGGAGGAAAACAAATAGAATAAAATTTGCTTTGCTCTGTGTGAACCATAAAATTATGCATTTTAGATTTAAAGATACATGCAAAATACCAAATTCTAGTCTACTTAAATATATTTCCTATGAACTGTTTTACATATTCTTCAATTTATTGTTAGAAATACTGTCAATTTGTCAAGTAATGAATGTTTATTGTTTGCAACAAATGGGAACACATTTGGTAAAACCCAATAAACTTTTCTTTGCACTAAGACTGAAAATAACTGGTTCTTTGATAAAACTGAAACAGTCAAGATGTTTTTATGTCCTTCCTACTGCAAGTAAACAGAACAGCTATTGTTTATTGTCTTGCTTGCAACACACATCTGCAATCTGGAATATTTATTGTGCTATTTTCATTAACATGATACAAAAAATGGAAAATACCACCATATTTTCTTTCCCCCATATGCACAACATTCACTCTGCTTGTTCACAGGAAGGGTGGCTACTAATATGGAGACTGTATCTGCCTGTCCTTGTGAAGCTTATTCACTTGCAGCCTATTTATTAACCCATCACTTCATGCTTCACTTCATTTCTGCTGGAGTTCTGAACGTATTTCCAACAGTTGCAAGCAAAAACTTGTTATTTGCTACAAAGAATACATTTATTTGAAGGTCAAAAAACTCTTAGGTGAACAGTATATTAAACTTTATCTTGTTTACCTGCAAACACAGAAAAATAAAACCCATTCCCTAATATATATTTTTATTTTATTTTATTTTTTTATGAAAATGGCCTCAAAAGTCTAAAGAGGTCTAGACCTCTAACTGCATTTTAATACTGAGATTTTCAGCAATCCATTTTTTGACCACCTACATCTGTTGTCATCAGTCCTTGAGAAGGCTCCATGCCTATTATATGTGGAGCCCAGACTCACAATCACAAACTCTCCTTGATTTGTGATCTGGATCACCTCAGAAAAGGGGAGACGTCAGCCCTGAGCAATGTCCACAATCTAAAAATATTTGGACTTTCTATAAGTTTCTGTTTGAAATATGTCTCTGTGCTTCACCTTG